CCCTTGTTATAACCTTGTGAATAAATAGCAGCCTATAAAGATCTTACCCTTCAAATCTATGATTATTATTGAGTTCAGTGCACCTACAGCACACGTAAATCCAATATTCAGTCCATAGGGTGTTGTAAGGATGAGAGTGCCACACTAGCTGGATACCTCCTGTACGAATGTTTATTTGACACAATATTCAACGTGGTCAAACATTCATAATGGGCTTGCCCAAGTAGTGTGGCGCTCTCATCCTTACACCTCCTATATCAAAATCCAATATTCAGGGAACAAAAACTTGAAATCCAATATTTGGGAATCAAAAACTTTACAAAAACATCTTCTGATGGTGAACCCCATTACATGGCTCCTCAGGCCCCATTCTACCGAGTCTTCTCAAAGTTTCATAATTTGAACTGTGTAGGAAACAAATATAGTCTACAGCACTGTCCCTTGTTTCTACGGTATAAAATACAGGAGGATTCACTGACTTTCCAATGCATACAAGATAATAACAGTCGAGACACAAAACAGGAACTAAAGACATGACAGGCTGAATACAAAACTAAGCCCTAAAAAGCCACAGAGTGGAGTAGGTGTCTGGACTGTCACCGCTAAATCCACAGACTTCATTTTGTAGCCATTATGCAGGCCATACCCATAACAATATAATTGTTTAATATAAGGATGGTTCGGATGAAAGATTCAGATCTTTCAAGAACGGACTACTCGAAACAAGTGTTTCCTCTCAAAGGAACGATTGCTCCTGGACGACAATCCAGTAAAGTTGGACCAAATCAAACTTTTTTACTATTGTGTCGAACGATTGATCAAATTTCTATTTAAAATGATCGAATCTATGATTGATAAATAGGTTACAGTGTTGTTACATTTATTGCCAGCATAAAAGGCAAAATGGCCATTGGTTGAAAAGTATTCAGAAGCGGATTCAGACACTTTAGTCTGTTGGAGTAAATTCTCTACAAAGACTATTTAAACTCTTTGAATATCTTGCAGCTCAACAGTCATTAGATGTGGCAGTTGCCTTAGTTTTCTTCTTTTTTTTTTTTTGCAGACTTCAGCATTTATTTTCAATTGGTGCCAGTAACACACATTGAATGGTATATTTACCAGACCAAAAAGGAGCAATTAGCATTAGCAGGTCTGTTTTAATTTTGATGAAGAGGTACATTTTTTTTTTGGATGTGGTCGCCAATTTTTAGAAAATCGCATAAGATTTGATGCGAATACATATTTGTATTGTAAAGAGAGGTCCACATATGTTTTCCAATTGAACTACTACCATAACTGCTAGCTGCAGTTGAACTTACGCCAAACACCATCGCAGATGTCAACACCATGCATCACAACCTATAGTGCCAGATGCTTCAAAGATGGCACCAGATCCTAAACCTTGGTTCCCAGGACACCATATCTACCTTCATCCTGCTTGTGTAACAATTCAGTTTTTGACAACAGAACGCCAAACCCTTCCCATTCGTAAACGTTTTTAAATGTCTCCTTAGAATTGAAACTGCAAACCTAACGTACTTGATGAGCTTAGACTTCAGGAGCCGTCACAGATAAAACTATACAATCAACCAATGGTCATTAGCCTTGTTCGGCCATTTAGAATTTCCAGTAATCTGTTAAAGGTCTTCTTTGAAGGGTTGGACAGATTGAACGCAGAACAAAGTATAGTATGAGCACCAAGGACCTAGGAATGGATTCTATACATTGCATTGTTTTCTAAAATTTTAAAAACTACAACAAAATCAGCATGAAGCAGCATCTGGATTCAAATGTTCACTCTGAATTTCACTCACTTATTCCCTTTTGCTCAGAAGACGCATAATAAACTCCCATACCCTTCCATAAACACCAGTCCTAGTTTAATCCCTGTACATTCAGTTTGAGCCTTGCTTATTATTCCTTTAGTCTTCAATAACGATTCGATAATTTACTTCATACCCATTCTACGAAGACAATCGCTCCATAAAACTGTTAAAATGTCATACAGATTAGTAGTGATGTTGGGGCTCCTTTCAGAGAACTGTCACAAACAGAGAGGGATGCTGTTGGTCAGGGCAACCAGTTGTATCCCACTATATTCTTTTCATCTTAGTAAATGCAAGCAAATATTTTGCTTTCTATGTTCATCACCACTATTTTTTTTTTTGCTCTAGTTTTCATGAAGGAGCCCCAATTTGCAGAAGTATTCATGTTCTTTTCTGTTGAAATAACAGATTACAATTTTCCAAACCCATACAGAAAATGATCTTCAGGAACATCAAGATCTCTGATAGAGTGTCCCTCAGAACTCAACCACCTGTTATAATTGTAGTTGCCCACTCCGTAGATGGTGCTTACCATCAAACAATGCTTTCGTTCCATCAGTATTTGAGGTTTACTTATCGACTTATAATGATCTCCAAGTGTTTTGTAATACTTTTAGGAGTAATATAACTAGACTTCCTACTGAAACATCTACTTGAAGGATCTGAAGAACTTGTAGTATGGATTTAGAAAATCTTTTCACCCTATCACCTTCCAAAGACATTTTGGAACCTTCACTGAATATGAAACTTTACAACCATTTAAGTGAATAAAAACAGACTGTTCCTTACTTGTGGCTTTCCAAACCCATACAGAAAAAAATGATCTTCATGAACAACAAGATGTCTGATAGATGGTACCTCAGAACTCAACCATCATAAGCTGTGATAATTGTAGTTGCCCACCCCATAGATGGTGCTCACCGTCAAACAATACTTTCTTTCCATCAGTATTTAAGGTCGACTTATCTACTTATAATGATCTCCAAGTGTTTTGTAATTCTTTTATGAATGTTATAGTATTAAACTAGTCTTCCTACTACTTGAAGCACCTGAAGAACTTGTAGTATGGGTTTAGAAAATCCTTTAACCTTACCACCTTCCAAAGACATTTTGGAACCTTCGTTGAATATGAAACTTTACTTGAACAAGTAGACTGAAATGTCTACTTGAAGGACCTGAAGAACTTGTAGTATGGGTTTAGAAGACCTTTTGACTTTACCACCTTCTAAAGACATTTTGGAAACTTCATTGAATATGAAACTTTACAATCATTTAAGTGAATGAAAACAGACTGTTTCTAACTTCAGGGAAAATTGTGGCTTTCCAAACCCATACGGAAAATGATCTTCAGGAACAGCAAGATGTCTGATAGATTGTACCTCAGAACTCAACCATCATGAGCTGTGATAATTGTAGCTGTTCATCCCATAGATGGTGCTTACCATCAAACAATGCATTTTTTTTCATTTGAGGTTGATTTCTACTTATAATGATCTCCAAGTATTTTTGCAATTCTTTTATGAATATTAAATATTAAACTAGACATCCAGTAAACTGAAACAAGTAGACTGAAAAATCTACTTGAACAAGTAGATTGAAATGTCTACTTGAAGGACCTGAAGAACTTGTAGTATGGGTTTAGAAGACCTTTTGACTTTACCACCTTCCAAAGACATTTTGGAAACTTCATTGAATATGAAACTTTACAACCATTTAAGTGAAGTGAAAACAGACTGTTTCTAACTTTGTGGAAAACTGTGGCGTTGAAACTTAGAACAGTGGCTCTAAGACAGACTTGGAAACACAAAGTTTTTGGAAACAACAAACGAGAACCTCAACATTAGAATGTTACCTATGATTCAGAAGCGGTGGCAGCTGCTTTGAAAGACATCCCAAATGGTTAGATCAACACAAGAAGACAATACAACCCTCTTCCCCCCTTTTGGTATGCCCTCTCATACTTCATTGAAGAGTTGTGCCATGCCGCAGGGCGTCACTGTACACTTGATGTTTGAGTGAAGGTGCCGAAATGTAAAGATATTTTTTTCTTCAATATCTCAGGTGTTCGTCTGTGAAATTGGTTCCGTAGACACAGTATTTGTGGGCTGTGCCCGCCTCTCTTAATCCTTGTCCTGTACTGCATCAGGAACTCCGAAAATGACATGAATAAACAAGGTGTGTTGAAGTGCTGATTTCGTCACTGCAGATTTGCTGATTTTCGAGAAAAAAAAATATAACAGCCAAGTATTTTTGCCCTTTTGTATTTCATGTTGCTCTAACAGTTCCTTCTTGTCCTCAAAGCTGCAAAATAAATTCATGGACGGGTAGGAGGTGAAGAGAGGGGGAGTTATGGGTATCCAGGCAGAGCAGAAAACACATTGGACCTTGCTGAACCCAGAACAGGATACTATTCAGTGACGGTACTAAATCCTTCCTTGGGTCCTCTCATCTCAGCTTTTAACAACTGCCATTAACAACTACCCACTTCCCCCCCATCCCACCCTCCAAAAAAAAAAAAAGAAAACCAAAATTACATGTTTAATGCCGCAGAAACCAACAAAGAAACAAAAAGAAGTGCTCAGTTTTTATCCTCCAGATACCGTGAAATCTGGGCGGCTAAATGCGGGGAAAAAATGTCCACCAGAATGAAGTTTAAGAAAAATAAAAGCCACAAAGGAACAAAAACACTGTAAGCGGCATGTTAAGAGACAGTAGGCCTTCTGTAATATTTTGTTATATTATTTTCTTTGTAGTGCTCTACACAAGTGGAAAAAAATGGTTCATGTTTTATTTTTGTAGCTTTTTCATGAACTTTTTTTAAATTTTTTTTTTTACGTGTCTTTTTTGTCATTTTTTTCCTTTTTTTTTAAGAAGGGTTGTATATTTAGAGGCCAGTAGCATGAATTCCAACCAGTGGAATCCAGGTATATCTACCAGGCCTTAAGGCCACCATCTGAGGGAGACTGGATAAAATATATATGCAGGTTATATATCTTGATATATATATATTCACCCACTCTCCGGAAATGTAATGTACCAGCAGGCAATAAAGTTCTTCATGTAGTACAAAATGTCAAAAAAAAAAAAACCTAAAAATAAAAAGAAAACTCTTAAATTCTAGTGCCATAGCTTTTGTTTTTGTTTTTTTAATTTGTTCGTAAGAATGAATGGTATTTATCCGTCTGAAACGTGCATTCTCATGTGGTCGTTAAACTGCTCGATTTGGTCAAACTTAGCTGGACAGACTGAGCAAACGTACGTTGTGCCCTCGGAACATACTGGGCCCACACTATTTGGAGGCCCGGGACGAGGGACTAGAACCGGGCCAGGAGTAGGAGCAGCGCTGGGGGGTGGAGCCAGTGATGGTGCCGGTGCTAAGGCAGAAACCAAAATTGGAGCTGGAACTAAGGCTGGAGTCGGAGCCAAAACTGGAGCAGGTGCCAAGACAGGTGTCGGAGGCAAGACCGGTGCTGGAGCCATGGTGGGAGCTGAAGGCAATCCTTGGCCTGGAGTGGAGGCAGGAGCCTGCGCTGATCCTGGAGCAGAGTTCAGAGGTGGACCGGGGACTGGGATGCTGGCAGTGCCATTGGTGGCGCTATGAAGGGCCACGTGCCTCTCCAGCAGCGTCTTGTGAGAAAACTTCTTCTTGCACATGTAGCACTCATAAGACTTTTCCCCCCGATGCAGGCGCATGTGCACGTTGAGGGAACTCTTTTGGGTGAAACGCTTGTTGCAGATGCTGCATTGGTAAGCCCTGACGCCTGTGTGCGTCACCATGTGTTTGATTAGGTAATCCTTTAATGAAAATGACCTCCAGCAGATGCTACACTGGTGCGGTTTCTCACCTGCGGCACACCAAGGAGAAAAGGAAAGAAAAAGACAAAATGTTAGGAAAGCTTAAACATAGTAACAATGCAGGGTGTTGTTAAAGTCTACCTAAAGCTAAAACTTTTTTAGTTTTAAATAAAGTGTGGACGGCTTAGAGCCCCACTGTGATTTTTACAGCTGTCTATGGTTTCACTCTATGGGGTTGATTTACTAAAGCTATAGAGTGCAAAATCTGGTGCATAGAAACCAATCAGCTTCCAATTTTTTTCTTGTCAATGCCTAACTGAACGAAGGGTTAGCCCAGAGGATGTCACATGACTAACGTGACGCAACGCGTAGGCACGCGGTGACGCACTTCCGATTTGGACGCCATCTTTGTACACCCATGCAACTACACCCAGAACATGAGGTTTTTTTCTATCAATGCTCTGACCAAGATGTATTGAAATATAACTGGCCACATCTTACGTATCTGCCTGGAGAGGAGGTTTACCACCACTTAGCCTGTCCTTGAAGGGGAGACCACTACGAAGAGAGGGGCGTGATTCCAGAGGAGTCTCATGCATGGAGGATCCAGTGTAGTGATCCTAAAAGTGTTTTGGCCCTTTGCGGGTCGAGGCAAGGAGGTGAGCGTGCATTACAGCCATTTGTGAATATGGCGGCCAGACTCATGCACCTTACCAACCGCTCCGTTTCCGCCACCCCCCTCTGCCAATCCCTCCACTGGCTTCCGATTGCCCAACGGATCAAATTCAAACTGCTAACACTGACGTACAAAGCTGTTCATAATTCTGCCCCAAACTACATCACTGACCTAATATCCAAATTCCACCCAAAATGCACTCTCCGCTCTTCACAAGACCTCCTTCTCTCTAGTTCCCTGATCTCCTCCTCCCATGCCCGCCTCCAGGACTTCTCCAGGGCATCACCCATCCTCTGGAACTCCCTGCCCAATCAATCCATCAGACTATCACCCACTCTCCTCTCCTTTAGGCGCACCCTAAAAACCCACTTCTTCAGGGAAGCCTACCCCACCCTCTGCTAACTGCCGAACACCTCCACTCTTCCTACCACTCCATCCCCCACAGCTTTTCCTCCTGTACCACTATCCCCTCCCTCCTAGATTGTAAGCTCCAAGGAGCAGGGCCCTCGAACCCCACGTGTATCACATTGTATTGTTATTGTACTGTCACATTTACTGGCCTCCATTGTAATGTACAGAGCTGAGCGAACTGTTGGCGCTTTATAAATACTGTATAATAATAATAATAAGTTGCATTTATAAATCTTCCACTCATATTTGTGTATTTTACATATGCAATTTTGTTATTAGCGCTACAACATTTATTGTGCTAATTGAACGAGCTGCAGTTAGAAGCTGATTGGCTCCCATGCACAGATCCACCAGATTTTGCACTCTCCGGTTTTAGTAAATCAACCCCAATATGTTTGCGGAATCCAAAATTATTAAGCTGCGACCACATTAGGAATACAAGGGAAATCTTCCAATTCAAGCACCTGTTGCAGTGCTAGAGGGATTACGCTCACTTTGGGGGGGTTTCATCTCATTTCCTGTTGTGTCTACATGACTAGTGAACAAGAGATAGGATAGTCAAGACCCCCTACACCACCATCTCAATCTCTCACATACCCCCTTTAACCTATCATTAAAGAAAAACATAACACCGATTGGAGTAAAATGGCCATCATGGCCTTTTATTAACACTTCAACTTCAATACACAAAACATTCCTTAAAACAGAAACATATAGGAGAAGTTGTTGGTCTTCGAAGGCACCAAACCAGAACCGATATTCACCTGCGGAACCAATACTATAACTAGGCCTCTAGCCACAACGCACCAGCTCGGAGACCAAATATACCATCCACAGTGCAGAACCACCACCTTCCAGTTAAACCTTGGTTAACTGGAATGCCCCCGGGCACACCATACTGCCGATGGGTCCCAAACCATTATCTTTAGCTTCAAAATAAGTGCCGCCTCCAAAGACCAACAACCGCCCCCGGAACCTGAACAAAAACCACGGGGAGTGACAAAACACCCACACAACCCAAGGGAGGGTGGGAGGTAAGCTCGCTCTCCACTGTCTGCTCCTGCACTGAATTGACGATCGTCCCAATCCACACCCAAAGGTGTCGAAGACCCCACCCTACAACCCCCCAGTTACCAATCAGGTAACTTGCCCATATCCTAACTCCCAACTTTTCTTTTTTTTTTAACCCTTTCCTGTCTTTTTTAACCCCCTCTTATCCTAGTCATGTCTGCTCAGTGCTGTTTTCTTTTCCTTCCTTTCGCTACGGGCATCTCTGGACAGGAAGTAAAAGCTCACCAATGGGACAAAGATGGCAAAAAAAACCTGACAGGTGTTCTCACCTTTCCCTACTCTATCAAAAACTAACCAAAAGGTGTTGGCTTTGGATATAATCTAAGTGTTATGGCCTGAATCTGAACCCAGGATCTCTGCTGGGTCTAGTATTAACTCTCCTTGCTTAGCCACCTAGAAGACTGGACATTTCCCTGGACAATTCCTTGAATGACCGTTCCTTGAACCTTGTTTGTCTTAAACTTGAACCCTATGCTGCTCCCATGAGCTTCCTATTAAAGCCATGCTTTTGCACTTCCTGTTTGCCAGATTATTGTGCTCTCTCCAGCTAATATCTCGCTCTTGTCACTCCTGCTGCCATCTGTATCCTCGATACAACTCGAAACCAACCGTTGGCTTGTTCTTTAAATACGGTTCTGCTTGATCCCATTCTGCAGCTACTTGTTACTGACCTTTGACTTGTTTACTGACTACTTTTCTGTTTGATCCCTACTTGCTATATCTCTTACTTGACCCTGGCTTGTTCACCCCCTGGTGGGGCAATCCTGAGGACCACAACCTGATACTAACATGCAGCTAAACCCATCTCCACCATCAGATGAATGCTAGTTAGTGCTTAGAACCCGCACCTTGGGTGAACCCGTGTCATCCGCCAGGGTGACCTTCTTGTATACCTATCCTGCTGGTCATTGGCAGTCTCTCTACTGGTCTCCAAGCCTGACCCCTGACTGTGACACTATGGAAGATCTGCTCCTCAATTCTCTCTGTAGTAACCCAAAACTAGACTGAGATATGGGAGTCTTGTTTTCTAAGTGCAAGCTCTTGGGATCGTATCTTAAAACGTACTTCACTACATAGCGAGCCCCTGCCTATTGTTAGAGGTTAACACTATTCAACACCGTTGGATTATATTATAATGTATTTTACATTATGGAGAAAGTTAAAGGATCAGCTGGGGACAGTCAAAGCTCCCATGTAGGCAGGAAGTTGGGAATTATGGCAGAGAGATCTCACTGTTGGACTATCCATGAAATGTAACAAGACTCGTTTAACTGGACTCCACTCATAGCTTAAATGTCTCCTTTGTTCCTGCCAATACTGTCCTCTCTGTGTCCTCTGTTCCTGCCAATACTGTCCTCTCTGTGTCCTCTGTTCCTGCCAATACTGTCCTCTCTGTGTCCTCTGTTCCTGCCTATACTGTCCTCTCTGTGTGCTCTATTCCTGCCTGTACTGTCCTCATTGTGTACTCTGTTCCTGCCTATACTGTCCTCTCTGTGTGCTCTATTCCTGCCTGTACTGTCCTCATTGTGTACTCTGTTCCTGCCTATACTGTCCTCTCTCTGTACACTATTCCTCCCTCTATGTGTACTCTGTTCCTGCCTATACCGTCCTCACTGTGTCCTCTATTCCTGCCTGTACCGTCCTCTCTGTGTCCTCTGTTCCTGCCGATACCGTCCTCTCTGTGTCCTCTATTCCTGCCTGTACCGTCCTCTCTGTGTACTCTGTTCCTGCCTATACCGTCCTCTCTGTGTCCTCTGTTCCTGCCTATACCGTCCTCTCTGTGTCCTCTGTTCCTGCCTATACCGTCCTCTCTGTGTCCTCTGTTCCTGCCTATACCGTCCTCTCTGTGTGCTCTGTTCCTGCCTATACCGTCCTCTCTGTGTGCTCTATTCCTGCCTATACCGTCCTCTCTGTGTGCTCTATTCCTGCCTATACCGTCCTCTCTGTGTCCTCTATTCCTGCCTATACCGTCCTCTCTGTGTCCTCTGTTTCCTGCCTATACCGTCCTCTCTGTGTACTCTGTTCCTGCCTATACCGTCCTCTCTGTGTACTCTGTTCCTGTCTATACTGTCCTCTCTGTGTGCTCTATTCCTGTCTGTACTGTCCTCTCTGTGTCCTCTATTCCTGCCTGTACTGTCCTCTCTGTGTCCTCTGTTCCTGGCTATACTGTCCTCTCTGTGTCCTCTATTCCTGCCTGTACCGTCCTCTATGTGTGCTCTATTCCTGCCTGTACCGTCCTCTCTGTGTCCTCTATTCCTGCCTATGCTGTCCTCTCTGTGTACTCTGTTCCTGCCTATGCTGTCCTCTCTGTGTCCTCTGTTCCTGCCTATACCGTCCTCTCTGTGTACTCTGTTCCTGCCTATACCGTCCTCTCTGTGTACTCTGTTCCTGCCTATACCGTCCTCTCTGTGTCCTCTATTTCCTGCCTATGCTGTCCTCTCTGTGTACTCTGTTCCTGCCTATACCGTCCTCTCTGTGTCCTCTGTTCCTGCCTATACCGTCCTCTCTGTGTACTCTGTTCCTGCCTATACCGTCCTCTCTGTGTCCTCTGTTCCTGCCTATGCTGTCCTCTCTGTGTACTCTGTTCCTGCCTATACCGTCCTCTCTCTGTGTCCTCTGTTCCTGCCTATACCGTCCTGTCTCTGTACACTGCTCCTGCCTTTGCCATTCTCAGTTTGTGAGAGTACCCCAGCATCTGTTATCTCAGGTAGCCGGAGACAGCTCAGCACTCAAAGTATGGAGCATGGTGCAAAGGCTGCTAGCTGAGGCCTCAGCAATCTGAAAGCCAATCTGAATGAATGCAAGAAGCAATGCTTTGATGGTC